GAGTCAGTTCTGACTTGATGTTACACACAGCAATACAACATAAGCTTCCTGTGGGGTCAGGGGGTATCTTTCCCTTCTGGGGACTCTGACCAAGCACAGATCCCAGATCCCACATCCAGTAAGCATCCAAACACACTGTGTCCCCACCTTGCTCTCACTGGGGTGGGGTGGCACAGGAGTCTCCATGCCCTAGTGTGAGAACCAGGACGTGTCTGTTCCCACTGCCTTCTAGAATCTGTAGGCCAGGCTAGTTTTTTTAAAAAAATCCAACCAAACATTGTAAGGGGGCGAGCCTCCAGATCCTTGGAAGACAAAGGAAGAAATGTTTCAAATACCAAAGGAACTTGTACTCAACTGGGAGTTAGAAAAGCATTCCAGTCCCCAGGAATCCCAGTAAAGTGAGCCCACTTCCTGATTTCTAGGGCTCAGGAAGGCACCTTGGACCCATTTTCCAAGACACACTGTTAAGTTTGGACAAAGGGGGACAAAGAGAAGAATGAAGAATTCAGAATTCAAACGCTGACGACCTTGCCTGCCTGGCTGAGCGAGCAAGTGACTAGTAACTCAGAGTGGAATGTCCCTCCCTAAAGACTCTGTTACAAAAACCCTCCTCAAGAAGTTCACAGTGTGACTCCCCCATTCTGCATCCCCAGAATGAGGAATTTCACCCGGGAGCTCCCCTATTCACTTCCCCCTTTAATAAAGCTGCATTAAGCTTTCTGATTTCTTCCTTAAGTCCGCTAACTTCACACACACCTCCGATGCACACATGCTGGAGTTGCCAGGACCTGTTAGTGACATGACCCTGGGGATTGGCGCCTTCACACCTGCCTGTCTGGGGCCCCCTCCTTACTCCGAAGTCTGAGAAAGCCCCAAGGTCTCAGGCTGTGTGTCTAAGATAATAGGAGCCATGTGACAGCGGCCTGGGAACACGAGGGTGTTGTGTGTCTGGGTTTCTCCCAAACACACACCTAGTTACGGAGCTGGAAAGGTGATGTCATCTAGCGTAACCTGTAACCTCTTTTGACAGATGAGGACACTGGGACCGGCGGGGGGGGGGGTCAGGAAAGGGGTTACAACGTGCAGAAGAGTCGACGGGCCCCGCCTGCTTCCTTGTATGCGTATAGATATTATCCTGTCACTGACAACATTGTACTTCAAGATAGTCTCTCTCTCAGAAGAAGCCAATACACCTACATTTTACAAATTCGGGCCCATCCTGGTTTCATATTTTTCAGCCACAAGGAATCAGATGGAAACTGTTCCAGGACCCAGAGTCAGGGGTGGGGAGTTGGGGGTTTCTGAGGTGATACACATGAAGGAGCCTAGGCCAGCACCCAGCAGCCATCAGGTGCTCAGGAACTGGGGCCCCAGCTCTTGCTGCTTTTGTTGCTGTTAGGCACTATGGTCAAGTCGGAACCCACCTATAGCTGATGCAGCAGGTTTTCAGAGGCAGTAACTGCACAGGAGATTACCTGTCTTTCTCCTATGGAACAACTAGTGGATTCCAATCATGTGCGTTTGTGTTATGAGTGTAACTTCTTATCAGCCACCAGGGCTTCCCAGTACAATATTATATACCTATAAAAGTGATTCTTTTGTTTTACATAATTTTAGATACACCCTTCCCCGGACTTTCCTTTCCCTATATATTGACCAATTAAATAATGAGCTCTGGTGGCAGAGTGGTAAGGCATTGCACAGCCAACCCAAAGATCTGTTCAAATCCACCAGCTGCTCCATGGGAGAATGAGGGGTAATCCCCTTCTATGCAATTGATTTACTGCTTTTAGAACCTGCTGAAGGAAAAA